TATATATATACACACACACACAACACACCACACACACACACACACACACACACACACACACACACACACACACACACACACACACACACACACACACACACACACACACACACACACACACACACACACACACACACACACACACACACACACACACACACCACACACACACACACACCACACACATACACACACACCACACACATATACACAAAAAAACACACATATATATACACACACACACACACACACATCAAGCACACACCACACCACACACCCCGACCAACACACACCAAAAATATAATTCAAAAAAATAAAGTATAATAAAAAATATAATAATATATAAAAATATAATAATAAAAAAAAAAATATAAATCTACAAAATATCTATATTTTCACAGAAATATAGTTACTATACCACCATGATAATAAAAAAATAAAAGTAATCATATAAAATAAATAATATAATAGTAATTTTATATATAAAATATAAAAATAGATAATAATTATATGAATGAACAGACTCAAACTACAGCACACCAACACACCACCACACAACACAACGCACACACACACACACAAAACACACGACACACAAACACACAAGTATATAGACTATATATATTATAATACGATATAGTATTTCAAATATATATTAAACCACAAAAATCTAAAAGTATACACTCTAAAATATTAGCATAAAAACCCACTCTACCTAGTCAATAATATTAATATAACTAATTACTCTAATTAATCCTATATACTCATATCAATAGTATATAACACACCCGTAAATATATCATCATACCCACCCAGTACTTACCATCCCTACCATATAATATAAATATATATACACATATTATGCATGCATCAAAAAATATATAAGATATATATACTTATATATAATAATATATAGCTATATATACAGAAGCCATGGTACAACTAATATATATACAGCACTAGAAATCCTATGCACTCGTATCGTATATTATATTCGTTATTATATACTATAGTAAATATCCTAATAGTAATAAAATATTTTACTACACCTATATCTATACACCACATATATATGTAATATAAGTATAATATAAATCTATATACGTCTATTACCGCTCAAATCTTATCCTATTTACATAGTTATATAATATACATATATATATACATTATAGTATTATATATACAATATTATATATATGATAATATATCATAGTTTTATTATATATAATATTTATTATATATAACTATACACATATATACACATATAGAAATATACTATATATAATTATATCATATATAATATATATTACTATAGATATATATATAGTACATACATACATAATACCTGACTAGAATATACTACACTCAGAGACTTACATAGTAATACATCTAAACCCATATACCTATATTACCTGTATACCACATATATATAATAGTTTAACACTATACTATATAAACTAGTTATATATAATATATACTATGCTCATATATTATATACACATAGTATTACTTACTATACAATACATGCTAATACTTACCAACAATTCCTAACCTTTACCATACTAATATATTCATTGTAAGTATAACAGTATACATATACATACGATATAAGTACCTGTACTACCCTCTATATATTATATATATATTTGTATACAATATATATAATAATACCCATACAATACATCATTGAATAATACCCCCATAAGATATAACATACTATACAGATATATTATGATAGACTACATAATATCATAAATATATACTAGATATACCTATACAAACTATACACATACTACCTCAATAATCATATAATACCATATACTATACTATAAATATATAATAAGCTATTATATATTAACCTAAAGTTAACCCAGTACTACAACATATAATACACACTACGACCCCACACTATACATAAACCAAAATAGTCACTACCCTCATCTATTAAAATACTACGTTATTACTACTATAATGTAACCATCTCTATCATCCAGCCTGAGTCAATCCCACAGCAGGACGTAGGCCGTCTCCAATTCTTTTCAGGATTTTCCTAGTCTCTTGCTTGTTTGTTTGCCAGCTCTGTGCCACCAAAATTTCAATCATGTTTGTCGTCCATCATGTCATTGGTCTGGCTCTTGCCCTCCTATATGATATAGTTTATAGTCCAGGCTCTGTTACTTTCTTTGTCATATGTTGTCTTGTCTCCGACATGCAGCCCTGCAATTGCCATTTCTTCTTTTTAATGCTCCCGAGTATTCTTCTTACCTTCGTCCTGTTCTCTCCTGATCCACGTTTGCCCTCTTATCCGATTCTCTCAGAGCTAATTCCATCAAAATCGATCGTATCCATCCTTCTCTGGGCGCTTTTGTTTCCTCTCCAGTAACCTGAGTTGTAGTCGAGTTTCATGACCCATAGGTCATAACTGGCAGAGACGCTTCGGTTTAACTTGTTTCTTTTTAAGGCACCACCTGGCAAGGACCTTTTGGTGCTCGGCACTGTGCCTGCCGTAAGAGTACTCAGCCCCTAGACTGATTCGAAGCCTTTATTTCTGTTCACTTGATGGCTGTCTAGCACGAGGTTTCCTAGGTTAGTTACCTGTATCTACCTGTAGCCGCTTCGCCTTCTTCTACATTGTTTTGTTTGAGTGGGACTCTGCTGACTTGACATAACCTTAGTCTTTTTTCGTTGTTCAATCTTAAGTCCACTTTTAGGGCATTTCTCTATATCAGACGTTTAATTTTATTCTTGCAGTTCATCAGCTGATCATAAGACGAGACAATGTTCGTCTGCAAGTCTTAGGTTGTTTTAGCGTGTTCGTCTCCATATTTTGATACACTTCCTTCCCACTTAGTTTCATATTTTAATATTATATATTATATAATTATATTTATATATATATAAAATATAATAATTATATATGTTATAACTATATATACTATATATTAACTACTAATATATACTTTATATATCCACCCTACCCCTACTATACTATACACATACTCGTCCACCCCTCTATGGTACGACTCTTTTACTTATATATGCACTATACGTATACCTTACTATATCTTATTAAGTTAATATCTATAAACTCCAAATATAATATAGGTGGTATCACATTTCGTAGTATATGTACATATTATATATTATGCATATATACTCATTTACTATATATATTATTATATAATATATATACTATAATAATATATACTATTATATATATTAATATATCTCTCAATATACTATACCATTATATGTGAATATGTATAATATAGATTATTTTGCATAATATATATGATATATATGATATGATAATGATATATCCGATGATTATTATTTATACATATCTACATAATACTTTCTCTATATAGTATATTATACATATACTTATACATTACATTTACATATACATTTACTCATTTTACATTTACTTTACATATTTAAATATTTTAAATATTTACATATTTACATATTTACATTTATTTACATTATAACATATATAGCATAGTATACATTATACAATATCTAACCTCCCCCCCTAACCTATACTCTAGATATCAACTCCCCCTAGAATATACTACCTATCAGTACTTACTACCCCCTACTATATATCACTATCCCCCCCCACCCCCCCAAACCTCCACCTAACAATAGTTATATATAAATCATGCAACATTATATTATAAACACTAATATAATACAAACCAAACAAAAACTTCTATACTACACACTCCCTCACAACTATATATGCAACCTACTATAACTACCACTAGCTACACCCTAATAACTAACTCTGACAACCATAACCCTCGCCATATAAATATATATAAATAACTCCCTCTAATATAAATATATTATCATATATACCTATACTACACAATAATGCTAGTATATGTAATAACCTACCCCAACCTCAAACGTTATATGTCTATATGTGTGGATAATAGATATACTATATTTCACATAACCACACCTCCTATATATATACTCTCTGCAAAAGGAAGTGATACTAAGGGTACTTTATAATATAAATATATAATTACACTATTAAATAAAATAAACCCTCATACAGTATATACATACAATTATATATATATATAAAAATATTATATAAAAAATATAATTATATATATATTATAATAACATATATACATATATATACAATGATCTTACACAAATATATATATATCTATATACTATTATTATCTCATACACACACTATTTATATGTACATTACCCTATATATTATATTATTATGATTGTATATAGTATAACTATATTATTATATACATAATCATATAGTATTAATATATGTATATATATATTTGATAATATGTACTATCCATATATCAAACTGTATATATAATTATAATATATCCTCTTAATATACTAACTTATATATATCTGTAATGCTTATATATTATAATATAATTATATGATATATAATATATATTATATAATGCATATCATGATTTGATATATGTAAATATATACATTATCCAAATGTATAATAATCTATACCCCTCACTATATATACCTCTTATCATTAATATCATATCGATACTTATCATATACCTATACACCACAGACATAACATATGCTTATATATATACGTATATACATTTTATACCCCTATACATATTAATATATATAATATATATATATATATATATATATACCTTATATATATTATAGCTATATATATGTGTGTGTGTGTGTGTGTGTGTGTGTGTGTTTATGTATATATGTATGTATGTATGTATGTATATATATATTCATATTTTTTTCTGCTTGTGATTAATATATTTCATAATCAGTTATCATTGACTGTGTCAAATTAATTTTTCAACAAGCTAGGTACATGTATAAAACATCAATGCCATGTTTTATTCCCAAACCAGGATGTATTTAGTGTGTATTGACTCATTTAGTGATGTATTGTGCAGTTTTTTCCGCAGATTTTTGTTTTGAATTTAGTGTAAAAATCTATTATCTGTGAACAGATTCGAAAGAAGCGCTTGGCTCGGCTAGGTGGAGGAACCAGCAGCAGTAACAACAATGGAGATGCATCCCAGATATCCATCCCACAGTCCCCGGTGAGAAGTTTTTTTGTTTTGTCTTTTTAATCTTATTTCTTAAAAAAAGCTCCTTTGATATGATGACTTTGATCAATCAGTCAGTCAGTCACTAGAAGCAATGCCAATGGGGGTGCATAGCCACATCCACCCTTTGCTCCAAGCCATGAGGATCCCCATGGCAAACAGCCAGGCATACTCTAGGCCCTTCTCTAGCCCCTTGTGACAGGTCTGGTCGATCTGCCCTACCAAGAACTTCTGAGGTCCACCTCCACCTAGTATTGTTTTGTGAAGTGACACACTGATGGGCAGGGTCATCCACAGGGAAAAGTGGTAGGTGCCTGTAAAGCCTGAGTTGGTGGTCTCAGATTATACAAGTAGCAAGTCCTATGCTGGGATCATGGTGTAACTGTCAGTTTGACACATATTCCTTTCAAATGCCCCCTCATGATCCAGTGCTAGGCATCAAGAAGTTGCTCTAAGGCAAAATCCAGGTTGCCCTTCCATAAAGCAAAACTGGTATTATCAAAGCCTTGAAGACACAGAGTTTGGTCCTTCTGCACAGTTTTCAGGATCTCCACAATACTCTTGTTTACTGAGTTCATGGCTCCTGCAGCCAGACCCTTGGGTTAAAGGGTGGTTTGGTGAGGTGAGCCTTGTTAGTTCCCCTACCCAAAGATAAAACAATGATATGGATTAGGCTGTGTAATCTATAAATAGTAATGCTGGGGGGAGGGTTACCAAGCAAGTGAGGCAGCTTTTGGGAGGGAAACTGCTGGGAGTTACTTGTCCCACCTGCAATGGCAAAGCCCAAGGGAACCCACTAATAGACATTGGGCTCCACAGCCTGCTGCCCTCTTTATTAGGGGTTATGGCAGCAGAGGTGACGTCCACCCAGAATGATCCAAGTCAGTATAGACCATGGTCTAGTCTTTTCATATCACATCCTCTACTTTTATCACTTATTCTTTTTCTTTCATGTTTCTTTAATAAAAATTTACCATGTGTCTTACATGACTTCGCACACGGCTCAGAATACAGCTGTTGTTGAGGATAGTAGTAGATAATAGTACATAACTATTTATAGGTTGCACTTAAAAAAAAGTGTCAATCCATAACATTGTTTCGCAAAAATCGGCATTTGAGTTTTTCCTTTATATTTGGCACGTAATGAAGCATTTAGAACAGATCAAGCCTGGAGGATCTTATTAACCCATTTATGATGGGTGTCACACATATGAGACAACCTGAAAAAAAATTTGCTGGGCGTCCCGCTAGTGTGACACTGTATTGGGGCTCGTGCTCCGACTCAGCAGTGGGCCACTGCCATTGCACGGGCAGAGTCCGGGCCAGTCTCGCGTGCCGATTTTGTAGCCACCCGGAAACTTTTATTTTCGGCTTCAAAATATACTGCTGTTAGTGGGTTAAGGAACTGTATTTTGTTTGTTAAGGGATCCAGAGTTTAATTGAGCCTTTGGCAGATCATGAAGAACAGCCATTAATCATCTCAGCCATTTACCATATTGCTTTTTCAATGTATCTGGTGTGGACATCTGGCTCTTGACCCTTTTTAATCTACATCCCAGAGAACTATCTTTTTTTTAAGAATTTGTCATTTGTAATTGATTCCTCTCATAAATCAAATCTTCTAATCCAGCATATAGTTATTTGAGTGCACTTGCAGTTTAAAATGCCTTCTCAATTATAGGGGGTACAGTTGTCCACCTCACCCCCTGGGTCATCTCTTATTACCTCGCCCTCCAAGAGACATCCACCACCATCACCGTTGGATGTAACACCATGCAAGAAAGGTCAGAAAGTGATTGATATTCTTTTTAAATAAAGTGTGATATCATTTGTAGGTATAATTCAAGTTCTCATTGTGTTATATTATTGAATGAAGAATTATGATGCTTGTTAATATATCTTCAATTTGGGATAGTCTCTGTGAGAATAGATAAATCACACTTTTAGTAAGACAGGGACAATAAATGCTTGTAAAGCACTTTTGAATACATGACTTCTTAATGAATGAGTCCTTGAATAACAGGTGTAGAACCTATGGAAGTTGAAACAAAAGCAGAAACGATGATGGATACTGGGAATAGTCCTCATTACCGTAGTGACAACAAGAGACACAGGGTAAGTGCAGTATGTGTATCTTTTCTTTTTTCTTTCTTTTTCATCATCCTGGTCTTTTAGCTTGCTATATCTTCAGATAAGTTTGATTGAACTAATAATCGTATGATTTAGAAGTCAATATTAATATTTGGTCTTTGTACTTGACTGAATGTTTTTAAATAACCTTCACAATTATTTGAGAAAAGGTCTTTTTTATTGATTGCACTTTGAAATGTAATTCTATCATTTTAAAGCATTTCTCAGGAATGATTTATATATTTCTAAAAGTGCTATGCTTTAATTGCAC